CGCATAGCTGAAATTTGGCAAGGTAATAGTAAAAACAATATATTTATTGAAAAAAACAGTCAGACACTTCTATGTTGGGACTCCCTCAGTCAGCAGTCGATTAAAGTGATATAGATGGTAGCGCGCGTCAATAGAATTTTACTCTATATATTATATCCATTTCGATGAATAATTTTATTTCTATAATTTAAATTATTTGGAATCGGAAACGGTAAAATACATTTTTTTTCTCTTAATGAGTAAGTGTAAACCTGTAAGTTGCAAGCGTAAGCGCGTATACTTGAATAAGGCGTATATGCATTCGAATTCGGAAACTTCATTATGGTACTGTTAGGTCGAGATTAGGGGAAGGGAAGCGGCAAATGTGATTAGAAATTTTTTTTTGTATTTTATAAAATCGGCGACGATTATAAGTATTTAATGAAACTACAATAAATATAATTAAAACTGAATTTATTTAATTACTATAGGTATACTATCACAGTACTGCTGATTAAATGGTCAAGTAATATTTATACGAATCGGGCTTTTTTCTAACCGCAAACTTTTTAACTGCATGTACAATTTTATTTTACCGTTTCCGATTCCAAATAATTTAAATTATAAAAATAAAATTATTCATCGAAATGGATATTATATATAGAGTAAAATTCTATTGACGCGCGCTACCGCCTATATCATTTTAATCGACTGCTGACTGAGGGAGTCCCGACATAGAAGTGTCTGACTGTTTTTTTCAATAAATATATTGTTTTTACTATTACCTTGCCAAATTTCAGCTATGCGAAAACACTTTTGGTGAAATTATTATTCGACATGGATATATGCCTATTGACGCGCGCTACCACCTATATGACTTTAATCGACTGCTGACTGGCGGGGTCCCGACATAGAAGTGTCTGACTGTTTTTTTCAATAAATATATTGTTTTTACTATTACCTTGCCAAATTTCAGCTATGCGAAAACACTTTTGGTGAAATTATTATTCGACATGGATATATGCCTATTGACGCGCGCTACCACCTATATGACTTTAATCGACTGCTGACTGGCGGGGTCCCGTATTTATTTGTCTGACTGTTAAATTATGGTTCTACATTATATTCGCATGCTCTCTGCAAATTTTCAGCTTTGCGAAAACTGTTGCGAGGTGTTGATTAAAAATACAGTTTTGCGCGCATCTCAGCGCCAGGTGTCCCGGAACTGGAACTGCTGACTGTAGCCTAGCTTTGTAGTACTAAAATGGTACTCATTCTGAAAATATGAGCCTTGCGAAAACTCTTGCATATTTTCGACGCCAGCTCCCCGACTATACCTACTTTTCACTTTTCAGCTTGCTGGAATAAAAAAGAATGAAATACTCGATAATTCCACAATTTTGAAAAAAAAAACTTGCTTCCCATATTTCTTCACATTTAATTAATTGTAAATTGCTCACATTTAAGATAGTTTTGTCCATAGTAGACATAATAGGTAGGTCAGGGGTCAGAATTAACGGCACTGACCAACCCAACCTCATATCGAATTTAAAATAACATTTTTCTAAGTGGCATTTTCAGTAATGTCATCACTTGACATACCGCTTCTAACCGTTTTGTAACCTGGTTAGTTTAAACCGGAGCGACGTGAAAAGATGTAAAGCGTTTACTAAAGTTTGTATCTGGTGAACGCGGCCATTGCCTCATATCCTTCGAACTTAGAACCGGTTGAACAGAATCGATCGAACTGATATTCCTTGAATCGCGATTCGCGGGCGAAGCGTAACCAAATTAATAAAAAAAGCGCTTTCGGCCTTTGCCTCAAAACTCCTCCGGATTGATCAAAAGGCGATCCAAAACGGATTCATATGTTCAGCTAAAAATGGAGCATTGCTCTCGGTGATTGCGAAATTCGCACTTTTTTGACATTTCTTTGACAATTTGACGTTTTATGCGTTTATCAAACGTCAGATTGTCGAAGCAATGTCAAAAAAAGCGAATTTCGCAGTTATGAGTACTAGGCTTAAACACAGAGTGTTTTGTGCTCTGGAACGGCCGCACTGCTTTATGCTAGTGAAGCAAATCTTGATATATGCAACTCAGCAATACGAAGGGATTATTGTCTCGCTCGCACTCACTGCTATTAATGTAATAGAAAGAAGAGCTTCTTCATCTTCCTAACCTCAATGATCAAAACACTTCAAAGCTATATTCTCGAGCCTCCATAGTGCAGAGAGAGATGAAAATCCCTCTTGTTTGTAGTCCTTCCTGGCAAAAACCCTTGCGTAGAAACAATTATGCAGTCACCGTTCCAGTGTCCCTGCGTTTTTATTCTCATCAAATTTTACCGATGGATCCACCATTCTATGGCCGTCATTGTCATTTTCCATTCACTAAACAAAGATACCTAACTCATCGGTGAAGGCACCGATGAGAATAAAAACGAGGGGTATGTTGTGTTTGTTTAGTCATTGCGTAAATCAGTCTTTTTTGTACACGGATTTTTAGTCAAATATGACATTACCTGTCATTGCCGACGGTGCGTAGCTGGTAAGCCAGTTTAACAATAGTGAATAGAACCGAATTTTCGTGACGAATTACTCATGACGTCATATTGAACGTCGTTCGCCGGATGGACGCAGCTTCTAGCCAGCGTTCAAACTCATGACGTCACAAGACGAACTATGGTTCGTCCTTGGATGAACTACATTCGTCGCGAAAATTTGGTTCATGATAGGAAAAATCGGGTGTCCCATTTTTGAGGCTCACGACTGTACGTTTGGTTATTGATTTCAAATGGTGTGCCCTCGTTTGGGTTAGTTCGGAGCATAGATCTGTGGGTGCAGTAAAGCCGAAAATGTTATTAGTGATCCGTGACCGACATCATTTGAACTGCGCATTCCGTAGTTCCGAACATTGAGGTGTTCTGAATCACTTTCTGAAAAATTCCTACCCCCCGAACGATCTCTGCCCCCAACCAAAATGTTGGAGTACTCTATAATCGCTCGTGAATGCCAGAGTAAAATAGAGGAAATAGAGAACATAACCCTAATTATTACAGTTTGGCGCCAAACCGAAAATAAAAGTGGAGCCCATAAAAATGCAAGCAAATTAATATATTGAATTATTTTATCTTTGATTTTTTAAGGTTTTCTTATGCATAGATAGAAACGAAAGTTATAGTTTAATTATAAAGAAAAAGGTGGAATACTCTAAATTAAAAAAAATGGGTACTAGAATGAGACTTCGGTCTGGTGTACCACCAGAAGAAAAAGAACTAGAAATTGTAAGTTTAATACTGAGTTCATTTTTCAAAAGCATTCGCTGAAAATAGTGCGGAAAGTGCACTTTACCGCACTTATTTGCAAATGGAAAGTAGCACTTTACAGCACACTACGCGGTAGTTATTTTACCGCATAGTGTGCAGGAAATTAGTGGTATTTATAAATGAAAATCTTTCTCAGAAAATTCAATATTGCCTTTTTTCGAAGAATCAGATACTCATAGATACAATTTTGTGTCCGACACATGTGGAAAGTGCCTTTACCGCCCTTAAGGGCAACTGCCATTGCATGCAGTGAAGTATCACAAAAGCATTTCTTTATATTTCAGAAACAGAAACAATTAGAGGCTGAAGAAAAACTAAACAGACCATTTTTAAGTTATCCTGGCAAAGTAAATTATGCCATCACTCTGATAGACTGTGCCATGGCATGCGACAACTTATTGTAAGAATTGTACAACTTACTCTTTTGAATAATCAGCTATTTTTATTTAGGGAAATGGTAAACCAACATTCTGAAGAAACATTCGTTGTTGGATTCGATATGGAGTGGCCTTTCAATTTCCAAACCGGACCAGGCAAAACCGCCTTGATTCAAATAAGTCCTAACTTGGAAATATGCCATTTATTGCATTTGCCTCAACTCAAGAATTTACCAAAGGGGTTGATTGAATTTTTGCAACATTATAAAGTGAGACTAACTGGAGTGAATATTAAAAAGTATGTATACTCTACTCATTGAATTAATTAAAATACTAATTTGTAATTTTAGTGATGTACGAAAACTATGCAGAGATTATCCAGGAATATTTGATGCAGACAAACTTATAGATAATTGTATTGATTCTGGTGTTTTGGCTAATACAATTATTCCAATTACTCAAAGATGGGGCATGGAGAAATTAGTTGATTATGTGGTAAATTATATTTTGATAAGACTAATTTTACCAAGGGATTTATTGAAATTAAATAAATCAGAAAATGTGGAAATAAAGCTTCTTATTACTTACTTACTGAACGAACATATCAATCTTGTTCAGTTGACAAAGTATCAAGTTGTCACTTGATTTTATATGTCTGTTGCAAAAGTTTCTTGATGTTGTGGGTACCTCCAAATCTATATGGAAATGTTGTGTATTATTATTGAATCCAGATTCTTTATTTCTTCAAAAAAATATTCTACTTGGTACCTTCAATTGGATTTACCTTATCAATGCATCTTCTTTCTGATTTCTTTGTATACTGAATGGAACAAAAAAATCTTGTTTTTCAAGGACTCTATTGAGTCTATTCCTATTCCTTGTAAGGGGCGGAAAAAAACTAATTTTCTGATTTATTGCAGCTTAAAATGAAAATCAACAAAGACAAAAAAGTGAGGATGAGCAAATGGCATGTGGTTCCTCTCAGTGAAAGCCAGCAAGTTTATGCTGCCATTGATGGATATGTAAGTTTTTTATTTAATTCAAAGTTTTGTTTTAAAATTCTGCATTTTCAGGCTTCTTTGCTGCTCTATCAGGAATTGAAGAAGCTAGAAGCAAAAATACTAGAGGAAATTGACCAAAATATTTTAATATAATTGACTGACAAGAAGGTGCCTTTGATTTTGACGGTGCTTTAATTATTAGTGAATGTAGAAATTAAAATGACAGGACCATAATTAGTTTTTAACCATATTGAATTCAACTATTTTTTTTTATAATATATATATCTTTATACAAAGAATTTAATAAAACATTTTTTCTGATAATACATTTTTTTATTTATTACTTTTGGAATAACTAGACTATACCATATTATGTTAGTATCCATATTATGTTGTATAAATAATTCACTTGAACGCCTGATTCGGCCTACAATAATAATTAAGCTATTTAAAAGCTTTTTCTCTAACTACTCGATAAGAAAAATTAAAATTCAATATTTTCTATTATAATAATAAATATTGAAATACAACAGCCTCCAATCTTAATTTTTTTAAATATCACTCATTCTCTTAACTCTAGACCTTAACAATACTAAAAAAATTGGGTAGGTATAGTAGAAAAAAAGGAGTTCTTTTTTTTTGAAAATTCGCTCATTTTTGTTTTGTTTCGATACCTGTTATTCTGGAAAGTTATGGCTAATTAGATGTAATGTCGTTGTATATAATGACTAGGGTCAAAAACTTTGAACGAATTTTCTATTTTTCTAAATAGCTAAATAATGGAAGAAAATCTTAAACATTTAATTAAAAATTATTTTGAAGGCAAATAATCGGTTCTAAATTATAAAATAAAACATGCTACATAAAATTAAATTTTAAAACGTACCACTTCATTTGCTTTGGATATGAAATATTTACATGTTTTTTCTTTCGGCCTTATTTACACCGAATCGATAACAATTTCCCCAACCTTTAACATTTTATTAAATAATATAGCAAATTCAAAGCCTAAAAATGCACCTAGAGTGTGAATAAAAAGGCCTACACGTTTGGCATCAAAATTTTCCCAACTAGAATAAAGCTACATTATTTTTATTCACACTACTTTTTCTGGCTATTCTAATTTAACAAATTTAAAACGAAAACTTGAAAATACATACAACTGCTACATTAAAATTTGAAAATTCACCAAACGACATTTCAACAAAAATATTGTGATTTGATCACTCGACAAAAATATGTGCGCAATTATGCTTAATCTCTAAGAAAAATCTCAACAAGCGCTAACTACTAGAGATACTAAACTACCTTTATAAGTACATACTTTCAAAAGCGGACTATTTAATTTAATTATTCGTTAATAGTACCTCTAATAGTTAAAACACAGAGACAACAATAATGTCTCATTCACTTATTTGTCTAATAAAAAAATATATAAATAAATAAATAGTAGTGGAGGTAAAGACAATTTATATAATAGTTGATTGCTGATTTTTATTTCAGATAATGTGTGAATCAGTTGTATTAACTCATTTACATCAAAGGAATGGTACTTATCTATTTTCCATGGCCTGCCATAGTTTTCAAAAATAGACACTGAGTATGTTAACGGAATTAAAATAAATTACTTCTAAATATTGCTCTTCTTTTACGTATTCTATCAAGCTTATTAATGTTGTTATTGGACCACTCATAATCTAGAATAGCAAACTAGAATTCAACTATCTATTGATATGTCCATTAAAGCACCAATTTTATAAAGTTATGGCTTAACTGAATAAAATTGGTTTATTTTAAAAATTTTCAAAGACCTATCCTCATACTACTACTTAATTCAGCTGTTTTTAAGTACGTACACGAATAAAACTTAATTGGTACACACAAGTATAATAATACTGAGATAAGTATTATAGATAATCTAGTATCACTAAGCTGTTAACATCAATAAGTGAGAGATAAAGAGAAGAGTATAAAAGTAGACTGTGGCGGGGTGTGAATCCACTTCCCCCTGTTTAGGACTTGAGAAGTTTATTGGCACGCTGGTTTGCCACCGCGATTCGTGTTTCGTTGCTTTCGCCCTATTTCCATAACAATTTAATAATTACAAATTTCATTTAACCAGTGTGCCCCAAAATCTTAAGAATTAGCGAAAAATTTACATCTAACTGGCTCCCAACACTTTAACATTATTTACACAAATTCTGATTTTTGCATTACAAATAAAGACATGTTTAGAGATTATTGTCATATCAAAAAAGCTACCTTTGAGGTGGGAACTAGTTAGAAGAGCAAACACAAAAAAATCATTTTAGTAATTTAAACAAAATGGTGTTAATTGTGTTAAGTGTCTACTTGAGAAGGTCGTGAGCTCGCTGATTGGCCACCTCTATCCTTGCCGCATTGGAATCGCCCTTTTGTAGTGATTAGAAAAGCAATTGGGCGTGTTGGTAGTAGGAATTGGTAGAGTTGATTTGTTGTTGTAGTTGGTGGTAATGGTGTCGTGGAATGAACGAGGTAGGCAATGTAAACAAACAATATCAAGATTAATCATAGTAATTAACAAACGCAAAACAAGCAATAGTTTTAATTAGGTAAGGGAGCTGCCTTCAAGGAATGAACATATCACACTTCTTATGGATTTCGGTCACCGACAGATTTTTAACTTTAGTATATTATTTAGGAAGTCGAAATAGGCATTTTCTTCCATTGCACCGACCTTGTAGCGCTACAAGGTGATACTAAAAAAATTAGGTTAAATATATATATTTTTTATTATCTACCTATTGTAAAATATTGTAATTTAACTTTGGTTGATAAAATAAAAACAACATACATATAGGTACTCTATCAAATAGTTATTTATTATACAAGGGGGAAAAGAACTAGATTTTAGTGCGAGGTGTGGTTTGTCTCCCGACGCGAAGCGGAGTTGGGTTTTAGACCATTCTAAACAAGAATCAGATTTTTTCTAAAAAAATCCCTAATAGTACTTACTGAAATTTGAGCCCATAAATGTGGACACCCCTGTACACCAGTACATCCGCAGAAATAAAATGATGAGCCAAATAAGTACCAAATTCAAGTAGATATAAGACAAAAAGGGAATAAATTGAATCACTTAAAAAATAAAAATTTTAGAAGGGTGGTCAGTCCTTAAGCAGGATACAAGAGTGCGCAATGAACATGTGCTAAAGAGAATGTCAAAGGATCTTGAAGTTATGTTTACGCTTAAAAAGCGAAAGTTAGAGTAATTCGGACACATACTCAGGAATAACAAATACTTACTTCTCAAGCTCATAATAGAGGGAAAAATCGAAGGCAAAAGAGACTCTGTACGTCGAAGAATATCTTGGCTAAAGATTCTAATTCAGAAAAGCAGTCGACAAAGTACAGAAAGCTCTGATGATTGCCAACGTTCTTAAAGGTCAAGACTTTTGAAGAAGAAGAAAAATAATATAAAGTTTGATAGGTTGATCTCAAGAAAAAAAAATATACATAGTGGCAAAAAAGTCGCGCATAATACCTGTAACTTTTTGATTACCTCGTATACGATAAAGTGACCTGAATGAAAGTTGCTCATGGCAGTTTGCACTGACCATATTAAGGAAGCCTTAACGATAAGTATTCCTTAAAGTGACATTTCTCCATGTAAAAATGTCATTTGACACCAACTTTGAATTTAACTGGAGATTAAATTCAATTGGAATTTTTATTCATGGATTAAATTCAAAGTTGGTTGTTTATGAAAATCTAAGACAAGAATGTTAGATCGGGTTTCATCTAAAATTATTATTAGATTCTTTGAAAAATTCTAGACATATTTCATCTACAATGTCATATACCTATCTTCAACTATTTCGGAAATATTGACAGTTTAAAATTGACATTTTTACATCTTTGACAGACTGTAGAACCTAAATGGTTAATTTTACCAGCAAAACAGATTTTACATTCTCGTCCTAGATTTTCATAAACTATCATTTGACACCAACTTTGAATTTAATTGGGTATTAATAATTTAAGCGGAATTTTTAATCATGGATTAAATTCAAAGTTGGTGTGAAATGATAGTTTATGAAAAAGTGAGGTAAGAATGTATGATCGGTTTTGCTGTAAAATTAACCGTTCAGGTTTTACAGCCTGTCAAAGTTGCAAAAAAGTCAATTTTCAACTGTCCATATTTCCAAAAGAGTTGAACTTAGGTATAGGGCAAGGTTCCTAAAGTTTATAGGTTGCTTGGTAATGGGTAACCTGATGACGCGTCTGGGGTGCCTTATAGAAATTTGCATTATGTTGAGGCCCCCCAGATGACGTCATAAAGTTATCAGACAACCTACCTCTCTCAAACAACCTTGGATATAGGTTATATCGCATGAAATCTGCTCAGAATTTTACGTAGAATCCAAATATATAAGAGAATGTTTCATTTGAAGAAACAAAGTTGGTCTCGATAGCAAACAAACCAGAAGTGACAGAAAGAAATCGTCTAGGTAGAAATGTGGGAAATAATTTACTGAGCAACTTTCATTAGGGTCACTTTTCCATATACGAGGTAATTAAAAAGTTACAGGTATTATGCGCGACTTTTTTGCCACTCTGTATATGTTTGTGTCATAAGAAACAATGTATTGGAAAGTGACCTTTCTCATTTTCCCTACAGATATAAAGTCTTCTTCTAGAACAAAGGTTCTCAATGAAAAAAACGGATTTTATTTTTTATATTATTATTTTATTAAAAAAAAAGCCTGATTTTATCAACCAAAGTTAAATTACCTACAATCGAGGGGCAGCTCACTCATCACAATTAGTACATCAATTTCGACAATTTTTAAGGGATATCGGATATTCGACTTTCAACGCCGTACCAGTAAGGATTTCGACAAATCTATTGGGATTTCGGGATTTCAGAAGGATTTCGGGGTTTGAGAAGGATTTCGGTGGGCATTTTGGGATTTCATGAGGATTTCGGATAGGATTCGCTCTTCGCGATTTCGAATGGATTTCGGGATTTCCAAAGGATTTCGAAATAATTTCATGGGGTTTCGGATAAAAATGTACAGTAATTTCGGGAGTGAGCCGCGCCTCGCCTACAATATTTTACAGTAGATAATTTAAGAAAAAAATCTTTGACTTAATTTTTTAGTATCACCCTGCATCGCTAAAAGGTTGGCGCAATGAAGAAAAATATGCTTATTTCCACTTCTAAAATAATATACTAAAGTTTCAACAAAATCTGTCGGTGACCGAAATCCGTAAGAAGTGTGAGATGTTCTTTGGTACTTAAATAAAAATAACAGGAGAAAATTGATGATTTATTATTAGAGCCTTGTAACTTTTGAACAGTCAATAAACCTGACTAATGGAACAAAAAAGACACCATTGTGATGTTTAAAAACCTCGAAATTTGCTTTTTGGGTTATATTTTTTATATAGTAATTCATACAATGGTAAATACAAATGAGTAGGTAGGTACTATAAGCACAGGAGCCACAGCTTAGAAAAACTACTATTCTTAAGTTCATATAGAAAAAGTCTTCATAGATGGTGAAGCTTCAAATTCTACAAAGGAAAAAGTTTACTCTAGAGCTAGATGAAAGACCAACTGTATTCAATTAAATGCAATACTCATGTGGACTATTTGAGAAAGTCTAAAGACTAATCTGGAAGCAGAAACTGATCTTAGAGAAAGAGCTTTATGTGGACTACTTTTACGAATATGGATCTCGAAAGCTGACCATGTAATAGTTAGTAAATTGTTAGAGGTGGTAGATTAATATTTTGTTAAATCTGGTTGATTTTTATTTAAGCACTTCACTCCCAGGGCAAAGCAATATTTCATAGAATAATTCGAAAAAAAAACTAAAACTAGAATAATTCTTTACCTTGAGATTGATACGTTCTAACTGCCTATTCTGATTCTCCAATTCTGAGCCCATATCGATGGCCATGTTACGTAGATTGCCAATCATAGTATTTACCTAAAAAAAAAAAAAAAAAACAATTCAGATATCTATTTAAAATGAGAATTACCATTTAACTTAAAGGGGGTGTGCGCCAAAAATTAAAGTTTTAGTGTAAAAAAATCTAAGAATAACTGTTCGCGTTATTCTACGATAATGAGATATACCGCTTTAAAGTGTGGACGACGCTCTCGTGACGTCACGAAAACTTCGTCCAGCCGCGCTCCGCATTGTTAATTTGATTGTTCCCGGCACATGTGAGTGGTTTTTGTTTAGATTATTGCAGGTAACACAGGAGAAACATAATGTAAATTTAATTAACTCCACTTTCTCGTGCGTCGCTTGAGCTTTAGTGACGTCATAGGGTGAGATGCGGTACCTTCATAGAGCCATATCTGCGGTATTATTTGTCATAGAGGGGTGCGGATTTCACTGTTATTCTTAGATTTTTTTTCTCTTTTTTTATGAGATGAAGTTGTTTTTTTGGCGCACACCCCCTTTAAATAGTTGACGTTATGATATGTAACGTAGCGGTTCATTAAAAAAATTAAGACTTAACAACTAAGAATTAAGAATCACATAAGCGCACGTTGAAATTCTTAATTGTAAGTTAATTTTCTTAATTTTTAATTTTTCCACTGCTTTGTTTCAAACATTTCAGCTTCAAATTTCACAATGATTCAAAGTATTGTAGTTAATGTGGTCCTAAATGATAATTTGAAGTCAAAATTTCAACATTTTTGAAGATACATTTCTAAATACTTTGAAACAATATATTCATTTAGGTATGTATTAGTAATATGACGAATAGTAGCTGGCCAAACAACCGAATACCGGATATTCGGCTAAATTTAAATGGAATATTCGGCCGAATATCGAATAGTTATTAAAGCATGTCAGCTTTACGTGCGGAAATGAAAGGAATCAGTTATTACTTGATAGAACGGAGTATTTGTATTTCTACATCATAACCTACCAATTATTTATTTTCAATATTGATTATTCTACCCCTTATTGTCCTACTATACTAATATTTTTTCTATTACATATAAGTATTCTTTGTTAAGTTCAGTTCCTTAACGCCAGAAGTTTGTATTTTCATTTTCTTCTATTTTTCAAATTGATATTAATTAAAAATATCAAGAAAAATATGTCAAAAAATTAAGTGTTTGTTTAATACCGAATAGCAAAAATAACGCCGAATACCGAATAATTATTCGGCTTCGGTCACATCTCTAGTATGTTACAGTATGTATCATAGATAGTAATCAGAAATTTTTACAGAATCTTATGCTGCAGTGGGATTCTCAATCGTTAAGTCGATACGTAACGTCCCGACTTTTTGTATAAAGGCAATGGGAAGTCGGGGTCGATAGTTTGCGACTAGAGGTTGAGAATCCCGTCCCTAGCGGATACAGGGTTGACATCATTTAAATCAAGTGATCTTTTTCAAAAAAATCAATAATTTATTATAGTTCTTGAGAAAATTGAGTTTTTGCCAAAATTTTGACTAAAGTTCAACTTTGAGGCTGAATTACTCAAAAAGTATTTCATCAATCGGAACCAACTTAGCACAGATTTATAGAGAATTGTATGTTCTTTCCAACGATATACATATAATAATTGACATGAGTAATTCTCTTAACCTTGTTAAGATTTGAAAAAAATTCCAGAGTCAAGATTTCTTTTGGGATTTTTTATCCATTTGAAATTGCTATTTGGAAATGATGTGAGAGTTTTTTTGGACTAATAATTTAGACCCGCTCTATCGATTGGAATGGTCAAAATTCAAAAAATAGGAAAAATAAAAAATTTGAATTTTTGGATTTTTTTTCAAATTTGGATTTTTGTATCAAAATTTTCAAACCTCAATATTTTGAAATTCGTGAGAGATATCGAATCAGAAATTTTAGCTCATTTAGGCCCGGTTTATTCACCTTCTGTTAAACTGTGAGGTAGTGCGATCTGACGGATAAAATCCCAATCTATAACCCTATTAGCCAGCCAGTCAAAATGTCAACATGAAAAAGTTAGAAATTAAAACATGTTTGAAGGAAAGTACGTACGTACCTTCAAAGATAAATTTCTAAAAACTTTAAAAATAAAGTCTCCAAGTATATAATAGATAGGAGTCTAAAATTTTCACCGAATAATAATATTCTTAGTCCTCCACCAGGATAACCTGGTAAAGGACTAAAAAGCCTGAAAATTTCAGCTCATTTGTAGATAAAGTTTCAGAGATAAAATCAGGCTAAAAAACAAGAAGAAAATTTATCATTTTTCAATTTTCCGCTGCTCTTTTCCTCATAATGATTCACAGTTAATGCGGTCTCAAATGATCATTTAAAGTCAATATTTCAACATGGAAAAATCAGAAATTTCAACATTTATGAAGGAATTATTAGGTACATAATGATGAACTTTAGTAAAGCTGCAATTCTGGACATCCATTGTTAAAAGCGTTTTTTCTGCAGCTTCTGAAAACTTCTATTCCATGCAGATTTGACATTTCAAATTTTCTTATATGTTTCTCTTTTGAATATACAATACAAAACATTTCGGGAACATTGATACTGTTAAAGCTCCATATATTTCTCTGGTTAACCTTTATTATTTGGATTGCTGAGTGATCTGAATCTCAATAGGCAATCCAAATAAACTTTCATAACTCTCACGGAAAATGAATTCAAAATTAGAAGTTTTTTAGTTTGTCTCTGCTTATTCCTAACGTCAAAATTTGCTGATCTACACATACTTGTCCAACATTTTCTTCCATTTCATCTTCCCGAGCATCGTTAGTGATCCGACCGATATAACCGCCCTGAGGACCCATACCATTGCGATCGTCCATCATACGCTGAGGCTGATTGTTCACCACTTTACCGTCGTCATTGCCCTTCCATGTTCCTTCGTCTTCTTTGAACGACGATCCCCTAAACACAACAATGCATTAAATCAAAAACTATGAAATTTTTTTGTTGTTACTTTTGACAAGGCAGAACGCACAATCCGCAACATTTTTCCATTCCCGTCAAATTTTTCTCGGCCTCTCTCATGTCGGTATTAATCTGGTCCATGCCATCCTCGATCCGGTCCAATTGTTCTGTATAACATTAATGATTTATTGAATTTAATTAAACTACATTTAATTGTTCTAAAAAATGTATAAGATGTATGCGTTACGTGATAAACCGTGTTTGTTAGTTTTACTTACAACGTACATGCTCCATGCTTTCTAGATCTACTGAATTAAGCTTTACAAAACTGCATAGACAATAACAAGTTTTGGTTATTTATAATATAAATAAATCTAGCCTAAATATATTTTTTTATTTACTAGTTTGCTAAATACATATAGGTGCTAATGAATTATCTATAATCTACTTATATTGTACACCTAGATTTATAAACTTTCGTTTTTTTAATTCACACAAGAGGCTACATTATTAGCTTTGTAGAAGGTATATTTTGTACTACTAAATAGCTTACTCAGTTATCAGGGCCAAATTCAATAGTCTACAAGACCTTATTTAAATTCCTCCAAAAGCCAATTCCTGGACAATTTTGTTATGCAGTTTTGTAAAAGCGTTTCTGAACAATGATCGATAAAAGCCAATAGTTTTTTTTTAAAGTACATGCTAGAAGTTAAAGTATCGTTTGGCAAAACAGAAAAAAATTGGGGGAGGATGTTTGAAAAGTTATAGTGTCAACTTACTTTAGGTCTTTTTGTTAGTAGGTTGGGTTTTTGGGTGATCTTTGAGGCATAACTTAGGTATTAGTTTAATATAATATGGACGACTTCCATGTTTACGATATTTGTTTTGTGTTAATGATTAAATTAAGGCTGATGAAAAATAATTAAATGTATTTTAACAACTATGTATCATTTGTCATGAAAAATAGAGTGTTAGCTGCCAAATCGACATTGGAGAAACAATAATTTCATTAATTTCTCCATTATCGACGAATTAGAGCGTACCAATTAAAACACATATTAAACGTCATGTTCTTATTGCATATTTACAACAAAAAGGTCGACAATTATTATTATAACATCAAACTTACAAACCGTATCGAAGGACTTTTGTCAATGACACATACTTGAACAAAATACTACATTAAGCTAGAATAGTGATTTTTCTTCTTCGATTTGACAATTAAATAAATTCGTGTGGATTTTGTTTTTTCTTTTTACAAAAAGGGTGATTTTTGGTGAGTTGTTTGATGAAGTTTGCTAGAAAGAAATTGCAACAAAAATAATATCATTCAACTGCAAGCTCCCATCATTTTGAAGAAAAATGTGTTTCAGCAAAGGCAAAAATAGTTAAGGAGTTATTTCTATTTTGCAAATTCTTTTTAACATTAATATGAAAAAAATAAAAATATGAAAAAAAAAAGTTATGATAAATGCTTACCGCCCTGTTCATCCAGCATGACCAGGGTTTTCATCCCCACCTCGTGGCTCTACAAACATGAAGAATGTCAGCTAGGCAGAGACCCCTACTATATGGTGTAATGTGCAAACTTCCACCCCTTTTTTAAATTAAACCGGAGTCAATATTAAACTGACCCCTAAGGTACCAGGGGTTGTAGCATAATTATATAATTCAGTAGCTTGTGTAGATTTTATTTGAAAAATTTTGTTCCCTGCAATGTACGTTTATGTGTGAAATAATGTACGAAAACATTTCTCCTCTACAAAAGCTACAAAAAAAAAGTTGTTTTTTGGGTTAAATTTTCAATCACAATATTAAGTAAATATGCAATAAAACAAAGACCACAACAAAGTTAGGAGAGATAGTATAAAGGTAAATCAGCTGGCCCCACAACAACACCAATAACGAAAAATTATAACCATCCAATTAGATTTAAAATAAAAATATAACACCACTTTTTCTGATTATATCTTACCGCCTTGCACATGGACCATCTCCAAAGTCTTGGTTCCGGCGTCCGTACTCTACAACAGCATTGTGCAGATAGCATTCGCATAACGAGGGGGACACACAACAAAAAACAATAAGACAAGGGACGAAAAAAAAACGAGGACACAAGAGAAAACTACTAAAAATTGTGACAGTTAAATACACTTTTCAAATATTGCAGGGGGTGACTTTTATATATAATATAATACATATAAGGCAAAACTTGTGCTTAAAACTAATAAGAATTTATTGAAAATAAAAATTGCTATTTAGTGGTTATTTGGTTGTCAGTCACTCAACTAAAATCACCACTAAAAAAAATATAAATAGCGAAAAAATAAACTAATCTACCAATCATTCCAATAAGCAAAAGCCAGTTAAAGTCGTGCAAAAGTGTTTGACATAAGTGTAATATATGCAACTGTTAAGTTTAAAATTGTAATTCGTATAACAAGTAACAAGAGTATAAAAACGTTTATGAATATTCCATACAACATGTAAACGAATATGATGCAAAAATAATCATCTAGAAAAACCATTTCAAACGCAATCAGTTGAAGAAATCTGGGATTTGAAATGATTTTTCCAAACAATCAACAATGAAAAAGAATGACGATTGAATAAAATGGACAATAATATAAGGTTTGGTCAGTAAAGACTGGGATCGACTCACCTCCCTGGTCATCTAAAGCGACCAAGGTACGGATTCCAGCCTCCTTGCTCTAGAGCAGCACAAAACAAGGTGTAAAATGTGTTAGTAGTCAATTATGTTAGTTGGTAAATATGGATTTTTTTTTAGTGAACACGCCTGTCGTTATGTTAATAATAATTGGTATATTTCAAAGGTGTCACACATTACTTTTCAAACCACAATCTTGTTCCAGCAATTGTGCCTGATTTAAACTAAAAATATGAGGTTTCAAAAGCAATGGTGTAGTCTTTAGGTTAGATTTTGCCTCAGTATAAAGTTAATTTCATGTTACCATAAAATACAGCAAACACAAACAAGAACCCCCCAAAAAATGTTTATGAAACTTCGTCACATACAATATTTTATTAATGTAAAATAATGGTAATACATATTTATAATTTCCCCAGTAAAAATTTAGGAATGAAATCGCGACCTCTCTCAATATATGTTATGGTAGTGGCTTTTGGAATAATATATTTTTTATATTGATTTCTGAGTATAAATTATGCAGTCTGCGAGTGTGTGTGTGCAAAAGTGCATGTGTGTTATTAGTATAGAATATTTATATTTGAGAATTATAAGATATATATATAAAACTGTACATGAAACACAGCACAAACACAGCCACACTTGCAGGGCTACCGCTACCACAACATAGAATATTAAAAATAATAATTAAAAAAAATATATATATATATATGGCAGTTGTTTGAGAAAAAAAAGCCACAGTCCATTGAGGCCTTCAAGGACCTAAAGAACTATAATTGAAGAAGAAATGAATTGTTAAAAAAAAATAAATAGACAAGATCAGAAAATATAATATGCAACTAAGTTTACCTTTATCAATATTTTTTTTTTAATTGCATTAGTTTTGATAATGTTTGTATCTCGATGGCCTCAAAATAAGGTCAGTAAAATGATAATAAAATAAATAGATGCATACTTACCGACATAATTGATTGGACTTCAGTTTTCAATCATATTTTATCAGAAATGTTTAATTCCTTGTGTGGGCTACAACAAAACTCATCCTGTTTGAAAGCAAAATAGATTTGTTCCAGCCACGAAAAAATTAAGGCCATATGGGCTGAAGAAAGCCTTGGAACCAGGGCTGGGTGACAAAACAGAAAATTATGTTTTTTACATTATGTAGACAATTAATTAAAAATGGAGGACATTCTGTATACAATATATGAAATTTTCTGAAGAATTGTAATCATGTAATTTATCCAATAGCAGGCGGTAAAACCGATGAGGTTATTGCTGCATTTAAACATCTGTTTTTCTTGTATGTGTATTGAAAACTGTTTGAAGCTTCTCAGCTGCAAAACTGTTCAAACCGAGGTTGAAACTAAATTGAAATTTTAATTAACAGGTTTGTAGAGAATTGATTTGACTTCAATTAGAGCTTAACTACATTGAAATCGGATAAAAATTAAAGGAGCTGTGAGGCAAAAACTGTCTCAGTCTCATTTTTGGAAAATTTTCAATGTTCAATAAAGTCAATTTTGAAGCCTCTCATGTGTAAAACTGTTGAAACAAATATACAATTTTGTCTAGCTAGTAAATACAAAAACACAAAAACTATCACAATAACTCGCAAAAACCCAAAAACCCAATGGAAATCTTCAAATACTGGGTTTTTTGGCCAACCCTGGAACATTCTGTATACATATGAAACTTTAAGACTGTGGAGAATTTAATGAAGTTAAATTTTTCTCAATTGGATGTTTTGAGAAAAGCATGGATTCTATATAGGTATTTGTATACCTCATTGTATAACTCATAAATTGTTAAAAATTTCAAATTCTTGTCTCAATTTCAAAGGTTTGCAACTTTTGAAAGACACTATGTGTAGACATAATAAGACTTTAGAATCTAGTGAAGAATCTTCTGAGTTTTAAATTTTGTCTAAATGTTGTATAAACCTAATTCATAATTTTCCTACATGTAAAATATTATTATTATTATTATTATTATATACAGTTTAATACAGAATATGTTTAATTTTCTATATGGCCAATCGCGCTTTGAACTAATAAGGAAGGTTATTTTGCAACTTAGAGTTTAGATTGAATATAACATTCATAATTTTTAAAAAATAACCTTTGGCAAAAGGAAATACTGAGGAAAATGCATTTGTATGTATGTACAGGGTGATCTATTATAAATGTCACCCCGTCCTAACTTTTTCAAATGACATTTTTGACAAAAGTGTCAAATACAAAAGTTTTAAGAAATTGTCAAAAGTTTTTAACTAAGGCCGGAGTCTCATGCATCCGTTTTCCGACGAAAGATGTCCGAAAAACGTTCTATTTTGACATATTTTTATACGATTATGTCAGAATAGAAGGTTTTTCGGACATCTTTCGTCGGAAAACGGATGCATGAGACTCTGGCTTAAGTCAGTTTTAGGCATACAGGGTACGTCAAAAAAGACCAGCAGTGTAGAGTTATATTTATTTAAATGGAACACCCTGTATATTGTGCGCTTAGTTGTTAGTCCATTTTAACCTGATTTCAACGATATAGGGTTTGATATGTCTATCTTCAATAGTTATAGGGAACAACATGAAAACCCCTTTCAAGGTTTCATATTGAAAAAAGAAAAATTATACCATTTAAGCTTTAGAGATTTTTTTTTTTAAACAGTTTATTGTTCAAACTTTATTCATTAATATACAAGGTGAAATATTATAATAAATCTAGATGTCCAAGTTATTATTATTTTTAAAAAAATAACATGAGAAACCTGGGAGGGGATTTTCGCGTGTTTCTCTATAACTATTAGAGATAAACCGAGAGATAAACATACCAAACTGTATATCGTTGAAATCAGGTTAAAGGGGACTAACAAATAAGTGCACAATATACAGTAAAGCTTCGCTAATCCGAACTCCATTAATCCGGATTTCCCAGTAATCCCGACAAAATTAAAATATTAGATGTTAACATTATGTATTCTATAATCCCAATTAAGTACCTGTGCCTGTGATCCTATAATCCGGATCATAATTTTTTGCGCAGTTCGCCAATCGCTACAGGTAGTGTTACTAGGGATGTAAAATGACAGTCATTTATTTTTTGTGATAAGTGGCAGTAATTTTTTTGTCATTTTTATCATTTATGGTCATTTACCTTCAATGTAGAAGCATTGTATACAATGGTAGAAGATAGCATAATTTGGGTCAATGATCAAATATCTGATTGGTTGACTAAAGTTCTTCTTTAGTTTCACAGTCATCAACATCAAAGTGATCTAATGAGTTAGAAAGTACAGCTTCTATCTCCGCCATTAGATTGACAGTAAAAATCAGAAGTCAGCTGATATTTTTTTGACACTGTCATATATTTCAATGACGGTCATATATTTTAATGACGGTCAGAAAATTTAATCGATAACAAAATAAAAGAGTGTCATAAAAATAAATGACGTGACCGTCTTTTTCATTTTGACTGTGACATGACTTTGTCAGAAAAATTGGCTTACATCCCTAGGGGTTACCAAAGGCTATGTCGGTGAATCTCCTTATTTCACCAAAAACGATGCGTTTGTTTCTGTGACAAGTTTGGAAATCTCGGTAGGAATCATCATGGCGCCAAATAGAGCACACAAAACGTTAACTCTAGCTCTCTAACGATATTTTACAAAAATTAACAGTACTATGTAATAAGCACCTATTTTGAGTTAATAAACTACAGTTTTTGACGTATTTTTGTAACTTTTCAAAAAGTTCCAATAATCCGGATGTTTCATTAATTCGGATTGCATTGGTTTTTATTGATCCGGATTAGTGGAGCTTCACTGTATAGGATGTTCCATATAAAAAAATATAACTTCACACTGCTGCACTTTTTTGACGCACCCTATATATCTAAAACTAAATTAAAAAATTAAATTTAGTTAAAAACTTTTGGTAATTTCTTAAAACTTTTGTATTTGAGACTTCTATCTAAAACGTCAAATGAAAAACTTAGCAGAGGGTGACATTTATAATAGATCACCCTGTATTCAAATATTATTTTAAAGAAGTGAAAACTTTGGAAAGGTAGTTTCAAGCATGTGCCTATCAGTTTAATTAATAATTCATGAACCGATTCGCGTAAAAAAATTATACAGGGTATTTCAAACAGGATGATTTTTTCCCTCAAGGATCTACTTATCATGACTTGTGGATGATTTCTCCAGAATCATTCATTAAAATTTTTAGTAAGAAAATTATTTGAGTAATTGACAAAATATTATTTTATGTTATTATCATTTTACTTAGGCTAAGACATTGAAAAGCGTCCACTGGCTATTCCCAAAAGTCACCAATTTGCTTCAAGCTCAGTTTAAATCAAATTATTTCAGGCAACTGTTGCAAGATATTTCAATGGAACAATTTTTTAGAAGCTTTAAATATGGAATAATCATACAGTTTGTGACTCATTTCTTGCAACTTCTTTGTCTGAATAATGATAATTTAAGCACTGAAATAACAGATGGTAGTCCCTGCTCCCTACTTTGTCTTTCATATTTAGACATACAATGCGATACATGCAGCACAGAGAAACATTTAGGATAACTAACCTTTGTACACTCAATTATTTTGACTCATAATAAACTAAAAGGACAACATGTACAAAGGTTAAAAAGTAACTTTTCAATTTTTTGTAAGTATGCCTTCTAAACCAAAAACAAAACAAAAAATCCTGTAATTATTATTATTATCCTTTTTAATTATGGTTAAAATGGATGATCCCCTATGAAGAACAACACAATTATTTTATTAATTTAGCTGAAAAATGTATCCAACATGGAAATAAAACTAAATGCATACCTCTTCGCATAATGCCAGCATCCGTCTTGTACTTTCCAGAGACTAAAAAATAGAAATTTCATGTAAAAGTATGTAGTTTAGGTGTAGAATAATCTTACTTCATCTGTACGTTCTTGAGCTTTGAGCTGCAACTCTTGCAATTCTGTTTTGGGGGCTCCATTTTCGGCAGGGGCTGGGGCTGGCATCTTGATATAGACCAACAAAGAAAATTTTTAGGTTTTTTTACAAAAATATTAAACAGACACAAAATATATGAATAATTTTATCCTCGAATTTTATCACCATAAAATACAACCGGCAACAGCATTTGCTTTTAGATATAAGTTTTTGATTCCAATTAATTCTATGTAGGAATTTGAACAGATTGTGGTGTATTTATGTTCAAAAATACATTGGAACAAATAGGGAAAGTCTATTAATTAAAAAAAAAGATAGAGGGATGGAATGGAAAACAAAAAATCAATAATCTGTGCTGTGAGCAAGGGCGCACGTCTTCAGCCAAACCCATAAGGGATTTCGTCAACAAAAAAAAATCCACAGTCAAACTATTATGAATGAATACACATTTCTAAGATAATTATGACTCACGCAAATATAAATAGATGCTGAAGCACCCCTAAAATACCAAAACTGCACACTGGAATCAAAGAACTAAAAAAAATCGATGAGATTTGTATTTGTGCAATGGGGGGGTCATTGAAGCTAATTTTTCAAGTAAATAGGTATTGTCATTGGCTTACCTCGTTGGTTTTTGATACGATAGTTATTGTTGATGGAACTTTGAGGATTTTTGAAAGGATTTAACACTAAAAACAAAGGTAAATTGAGTTTTTTAAATTAAAAAAACTATTTTGACAGCGATACCTGTCAAGGAAATTGGAGAACTGTGGAGGAGTGGGAGACGGTAAAAATCCCCGCCCAAAAATCGTTGCAGGAAAATCGATTATGCGGCGTGTTCCGTACTTAACAGAGGTAGAACTCTTATGACGTCATCTGCAGTGCCTAAGCATAATGGTCGTTTTCGATTCACAATAGGGTTACCACCTTTTCTAAAAGTGAAAAAAGGACATTCCAAGACAGGATACCAAAAAAAAAAAAAAAAATTATACAGGGTGATATCGGACGATATCTCCTTACAGGGTGATGCAAGAAATTTTTTTATATCAAAGTTGTTTGATACTCTAATATGTATTAATTAAAAATATTTTTGAATATAGAGGGTGCTCCGTTTATGGGGTATGCAACAGAACTTTGTTATTTTGAATAGAACACCCTATATGTGATTGCATATTTGGATTCTAGGTAAAATTCTGAGCAGATTTCATGTAATATACCCTATACCTAAGTTCAACTGTTTTGGAAATATTGACAGTTGAAAATTGACTTTTTGCAACTTTGACAGGCTGTAAAACCTAAACGGTTAATTTTAGACGAAAACTGATTCTACATTCCTATCTTAAATTTTTATGAACTATCATTTGACACCAACTTTTAATTTAATCCATGATTAAAAAATCCAGTTAATCTCCGGTTAAATTCAAAGTTGGTGCCAAATAATTGTTTATGAAAATCTAAGATAGGAATGTTAAATCGGGTTTTGTCAAACCTTGCGTTCGGTATTTTGCTCGAAGAGCAGAGCGTGCTGAGCGGAGCCGTAATCACGTGACCAGCGAGCGAACAGAGCAGTTGAACTCTGTATGAAAGTGCCAGAAATTTTAATAAACGAACGCGAATGAGGCTGCACCGAGTACACTTTTTAAATAAATGAACGGTAAAGTCAAGCTCGGAGAACTCAGACCAAAATAACGAACGCACGGTAAAATTAACCGTTTAGGCTTTACAGCCTGTCAAAATGTCAAAAAGTCAATTTTCAACTGTCAATATTTCCAAAAGAGTTGAATTTAGGTATAGGGTATATCACATGGAATCTGGTCAAAATTTTATGTAGAATTCAAATATGCAATCACATACAGGGTGTTCTATTTGAAATAGCAAAGTTCTGTCGCATACCCCATAAACGAATCACCCTATATATTCAAAAATATTTTTAACTAATGCATATTAAAGTATCAAACAACTTTGTAATTTAAATTTTTTTTCTTGCATCACCCTGTAAGGAAATATCGTCCGATATCGCACTAAGTGGACACCCTGTATATTTGGATAACTTGAAAACTACTGACTAGGACAGCTGTGAGCGTGCGCAGTAGATACATGTATTGTGTGTGCACAAAATCTGGCCAATGAAAATGAAGGAATTTCAAAATTTAGAACAGTTGTTCGAAAGATAAGACACTGCGCAGGCGTTAGGCTGTTCCGTTGCACAACTGTCCGTAGAATATTGACCCCAAATTTTCGCACAAATTTTGCCAATCAAGCCGTATAAATTGTTTATCCATTTGCGAGCATCAGAAAAAAACAACATTCCCCTCTGTGGCATCTGTCTTTCATGGCTACATTTTTTTGACGGATATGGCAATGTGTGCGCATTCCAGTCAGTGTTGCCAGATGTCAAATTTGAAATTATCAGTATTTGAGGAAAAAATTATCAGATTCCAAGAAAAATAATCAGGAAAAGTTTCTGTCAACTTTTTTGACTTTTTATCTCTACTTTTATTTTGCTGGCTCTAGTTGGTACTCTGGGACTAGTGTTTAGTGCGCGTACCAGGGGGGCTTTATTTGAAATTGATGCAACTTTGCGTACACGCAAATGACGTCATTTGGGATTGGAAAGCGGTGCACGGCTTATTCAACATGTACTTTTTCAATCGAAAATGACGTCATTTGTGTTATATTTGCGTGTACGTAAAGTTGCATCAATTTCAAATAAAGCCCCCAGTACTCAGTACGCCAAAACACTCCAAACCAACAACCACCTTCAATTTTTTTAAATTCATTTTCAATTTTTAACTAAAAATTTGAAAAATTTGTATCAAAATTCTAGTTTCAATAAATTATGGTCAATGAACTATAGCTAAAAACTGGAATGCGCACACATTGCCATATCTGCCAAAAAAGCCATGAAAGACAGATGCCACAAGGGGAATGTTGTTTTTTTCTGTTGCTCGCTGTCATATGACGTTTTCGAAAGTTTTGTCTTATTTCCCTTCACAGGTTTCATCGATTGGAATACGTGTTGGAAGCAATTTTCGCCATTTAACATAATGAGTGCGACAAAAACAGGTATCCCCTCCGCAGCAGCTGCACTAGGCTTCACGTTCGTCCTTATGTGGTTAGCATTCCAGTTTTTGGTTATAGTTCATTGATTATGGTAGATTAGCTTGTCAATCGATTATTGAATCGTAGTCGAAATTATGGTAGAATTCGATAATTATCGGGTCTTTGGCAATACTGCGAGAACGATTTCTCTCTCAATAGTTGTATTCCTTTCACACCTAGAAGGAGCTCTGGAACAGCTCCGGGGCTTCACGCGCTTATTCCTTTCGAAAAGTGTTTGTTGCACCACGCATCTATTCCCTGCTAATCAGGGGCCACTAAACACCGGAACGAGTAGCTCGAGTGTTTCAAACTCTTGAAAGGAATACAACTTTTGTCATAAGCCTAGTACAAGCCCAGTTGTACAATCTTGGTTCAAAAGAGAATTCAGCTGAACTCGACTGGTACTTGAACTTCCCTTATTTGAAATGCATTCCTGTCATAATTGATAGAGTTTGATCCCGTTTGATTATTAGCTGACAGCAATAACCCTTTCACGTGGCTCCGGTTTAACAAACCGCAACATACCGCTCAAATTGGAGTGGTAGGTATCCATCACGTCACTTTGTAACCGTGTTAGAAAACGGTGTGTCATTTCTCTAACCGTTTTGTAACCCGGTTAGTTAAACCGGAACCACGTGAAAAGAACTAATGTATTTTAAATGGAAAAGTTCTAGTACCAGACGAGTTCAGTTGAACTTTGTTTTGAACCGAGATTATACAACTGGGCCTTATTAATGTCTAAAAGACGTCATTTGCGCATAAATTCTGGGTTCCGCGGATTTATTTATGCTTTGTAGGGTCTGTTTCTAAATAGAGGTATCCCTTTCACACCTAGGAGGAGCTCCGGAACAGCTCCGGGGCGTTACGCGCCTATTCCTTTCGAAGAGTGACTTTTGTTGCACCACGCATCTCTTCCTTCCAAATCGGGAGTGACTAACACCGGAGCGAGTAGTTAGCTCGAGTGTTTTAAACTCTTGAAAGGAATACAACTAATAGCGAGTCACCTCCGGGGTTTTTTTAACTCCAGGGTAAACGTGCCCATTTGCAATGTTTACCCTGGGTTTATGCTTAACTCGGGAGTCACTTGCCTTGCGTTCGGTATTTTGCTCAAAGAGCAGAGCGTGCTAAGCGGAGCCGTTTATCACGTGACCAGCGAGCGAACATAGCAGTTGAACGCTGTATCGGAGTGCCCGAGTACACTTATCAAATAAACGAACTGTAAATTCAAGATCGGAGAACTCAGATCAAATTACCGAACGCACGGTTGATTAGAAACCGGTCCTCTGAGTTTTACTGAAATTATTTGACAGCTACTGGTTGATTAACCGGTGAATTTCGGAAAATGCCCATTTCCTGCTGGCCAGCCTGCTGCGCTGTCACACTATTGTCGAGTCAACGTCAAACGTCACTTGCCCCTTTATAATTTCTTTTTTCCTTCCTGCATTTTGCGTTTGCCTTTTTGTGTTAAAGGAAAAAAATTATAAAAATTAATTTTGTTAGAAGTTTGTGAACTACAACTTCTAATCTAAGTCCTGATTTGTATTAATATGAGTGATGCACCCAATCAAAATGGATCAGGTCTAGAACAGCAGGTACGTCTACCGATTATTTAATTTCGATTGAACCCAAACTGTTTCCTCTCTCGTTCCTCGTTTCCCCATCCATATTTTTTTTCTGGCCCTCGGGTTTTGGCTTTGCGAAGGTCGAGTTTACTTCCTATTGATCCATCAACACTATCTTACTATTCCTAGATGATTTGAAATTAGAAAAATATGACTTTAATTCAATATGAACTAAAATAGCATAGGAAGGCACCATTTTTTTGGCTTGTCTAGCTCGATACAATGGTGTGGCTATTGGAGGATTGTTGTGTGCAAGAGCCATTATTAACATCTGATTTCATTCTTTGTTTCCTCTCCTGGTTGTATTTTTCATTCGAATTGTTGTTTCATGAATTTATCTATCTAGCCTTGTATTGAAATTATTGTAAATTATCTTTTTTTTTTTTTACTTGGTTTTGCTGACTGCAACAAAAATCTTCAAATCTCACCCACTAGTGATAATTTGGTTTTGTGATATCAATTTATATCAATCATATGTTTTAGAAATAGACTCTGAGATAGATGCTGAGGCTATAAAATGTTCTAAACATTAGGAAATCCAAAAAATGTACATTTTGACTCTGCAATTGAAATTGAGATGCCAAATGTGTCTCTTAGTGGTCAAATTTTAGACATCTTCATTCCCTGATATAGGATTGGCCTGTCCACTATAATTATATCAGACTCATCATTTCCAATTAATATTTTTCATCAGAACTATGCAATTTCCATTTTATAAATTACTTTTTCTTAAAAATACTAATTGTGGAATTGGAACATGCAAAGACGCAGAAGTACCCTATGTATTTTAAAAAAAACTGACCCACACTAGAAAAAAGTTGAAATTTTGACTTTAAAGTCAAACCCAAGTACACTGGAGAAATCCTCCTTATGGGCCTAGCAATACAGTTCACTTTACTGAACCGACTTATCCGTGGCAGCAAAGTAATGTTATAAAGAACAAAATTCCTGCCACTATAAAAAGGTTTTGTTGTGACCATAAAAGGTCTTTGTCGAGATCTTTGTTGTTACAGTAAAGTAGCTTTATTGTGGCTACAAAGTAACTTTGATGCGACTATAATAGTTATTTAAACAACAAGGTTTTGTTCAGGGCCCAGATTCCGAACCCACGACTCGATAGTATCGTTTATCTATTTGAACTTAAGTATTGGATATCACATGAAATCTGCTCAGAATTTTATGTAGAATCAAAATATTCAATAATATTCAGGGTATTCCATCTAAAATAAACAATCATTCTTGGGAATTTCTAGGCTGTTGCACGCATATGCTTAATTATTGGACTTTGATTTTTGATGCTTCAACAACATAAAATCACATATTGTAGAAACAAGTCACCTTCAAAGCTCCACTGATAACATATCCCTTCAGTTATAGCTGTGCAAATAGCCGATAATCACGTTCAAATGACGCAAATAAGCTCAAAAAACTTGTTACTTGGGTCCGACTTTAAAGTCAAAATTACAACTTTTTTCTAGAAATTTTGAAATTACAAAGTATGTGCTTTTATGGCGAAAAAATATGTAATAATATAATTTAGAAAAGAAATAGTTTAGCCATGTTGTAGTTAAAATATGGTACAATGATTGAGGACGTGGACATATATATGTCATTGATCAGCGCCCCCCAGTAAGGTTTGCTCTGAAATCAAAATCTGGAAATTATTTGACCAGGCCCTTGCATTATAAAACTCAAATGTATATTTATGTAGGTATATTGAAAAACATTTTTGTTCTTCACAACTTAAATATCCATCAGAAATCGAGTCAGACATATGCAAAATACATTAAATAATAAGTAGGTATACAGAGATGAACTATCCATGTTCTCACAAGAATTTCATAAAGAGATTTTTTTTCTGAAGTATGTGTTTATGTGTAAATCTCGCAAAACTGATAAATGGTAAATCTTTAAAACCATGGTGAGAATCCTATTCTGGATAATTTTGGAATATAGGCTGAGGTGAGACCTATAGGCCCATTTTTACACTGTTACTTATTAATTATTGTTTTAGAACTGTTGGTTTTTGAGTATTTGTTTTGGTTCAAACACTATGGGAACTGAACATCAAGTTTTATCTTGAATACTGACTACTGACACTGAAGCAGCACTAACTGTTTCAGCTAGGAATTGATTCCAGAGGGTGAAGACTCTGTTTGGTAGAAAGTTCTCCATTCTCCCAACACACTGTGGAGTAGTTTTTTTTTTTAAGTTTAAGAATGTGACCCCTGTGACTTTGTTTAGGTGTCTAGCTGTTTGAATGTTGTGGAGTGTTTGGTATGTGAAGATATTGGAAGCTCAGCAGTTTTTGTTGTTCTAGTCTTTCCTCATGTAGGTTGTAGGTCTTCTTCTACCAAGTTTCAATTGTGTTGCTTTTCTCTTATACAGCTTCAAGGAGAGCGGTCTCTAATGAGGTTTGGGTGCCAAGCCTGACCTGCATTTTTTAGGATTGGTCTGCAGTATATGTTGGACAGATTTGTAAACGCTTCTTGGGTGGTGTTTGGGAAGAACTTCTTCAGGAGGAATAACTTGCTGTTGGCTTTTTTGCAGTGTATTAATTTTCTGGGTTATTTTGCCCAAGATGGAGTACCACACATTTTTCCACATTAAGGGGTAGTTGCAAGTCCTCACACCACTTCTCAATTTGATTTAAATTATTCTGAAGCGAGTAAGAATTGTTGGTGGGACCATACGTTTCTATGTTGATATTATTAGGTTAAGGAGATCTATAGTGTAAGTTACAAACAACAGAGGTGGGTACGGCACTTTGCACTGGATAGAGTTCAGAGCATGACTCGCCAACACCGACTCCGTACTCCCATTTGTAAGATAGTTTTTGGTCCAAAGGAGAGCCTCTGACACCAAAATGATCCAGTTTTAGCAGAAGCCTCTGTCTTGGGACTCGGTCGAATGCTTTGGCAAAATTCAAGTATATGACATCAATGGGAGTTTTTTGATCTAATGATTTTATGCAATTGTTAAGACAGTCAAGAAGGCAAGTTAGGGTACTCCGTTTAGATACAAAACCATGTTGTTGAGTTGGAATCAATTAATTGTTCTTGTTCAAAAAAACCTCTCAGATTTTCTGCGACCATGGATGGATTCCATGATTTTGCTTATAATGAGGAGCAAGTTTATTGGCCTGTAGTTTCCAGCATCTAGTTTATCACTTTTTTTTTTGTATATCGGGGTGACTGATCAACTTTCCATGAAGCGGGGGGAACCTTTTTTGCTTGTGACATATTCATTATTTTGCAAAGGGGAACAGCAAGGTTGTTTGAGCACTTTTTAAGACTAATGAGGATATTTTGTCCAGACCTAAAAATGAATGGGACTTAAAGAACATTTTAGTCAATTGAAATAAAAGTTAAGATAACTGTTATTTCTATTTGCAAATTTAATTCAATTAGAAGACTTTGCTAATTTTCTAGTTAATTTATTGTGCTCTTAGAAAAATATCATTGGGTAGCGCATATGGTAATGCAATTAACTGTCTGCAAAATATTCAAAATAAAACTATCAAACTTATTTTTAGAAAAACATCAACACAACTTGGCCTACGTTACAAAGAAACTAATTTACTGGAAATCAAACAAATTTATTACCTCAAAGCAATCACAATAAATAACTAGAATAGTTTAAAATAAGAAACCCGATCACTATAGGAAAAAAGACATCTCCAAGTCATTAAAACTAAATTGGAAGTGGGCCAAAAATCTACAAAATGAATTGCCATAAATATATTTAATTTGCTTAAAGCAATAATTTCATGAACTGTAACTTTTCAGCTAATACATTTGAAAGGAAAATAAAAAAACTGGCTATGTCAAAATAATGTATTATAATTATATTAGATATGTTGATAACATGGTTATCTCTACTGCACACACTTAATCTTTTGATTGACTTTGTAATATGATACGATTAGTAATTTGTTTAATTAGTTTTAAATTAGTTTGTTAGTTAAGCTCGGTTTTAAGATATTATCATAGAGGTGAATTGTGTTTTCACCCGCTAAGTCTGGAAACAATACATACATACATTGTCAGCAGGTTATACCAATTCCAAAGAAATATATCCAACAATCTTTGAAAAATGTTGATTAACAGTTACATTTTTTACTGTATAGAATTTCACATGTACCTATACAATATTATTTTATAATATACAACTGAGAAAAAATTATTGCTTAATACAGATTTCCAATACTCATTTAGTCATTTTTCTATTTATAGAAACAATAAAATCATACTTTTGGCAGCCTCTTTTGCTTAAACATGTATTTATATAATTTATCCCGTTATGTACTATAAATAGAAACCGGAGGAAGTTACATATTTATTCAGTATCATTGCACTTCCTTTCATTTAATTTCAATTTTTTTCTTAAATATTTAGAATGAAAACAATCTAAAAAAATGATGTACATTACATATTCTAACCCAATTAATTATTGTATGGATTCGTGATTTTGCGAGTGATTTTGTGACCCAGTTAGCAAAACTAGTTTTTCTGGATTTAAAATGAGAGGTCTTGGATTTCTCAGGCAATAATGTCAATGTCAGTAAAAAAATACCTCTGAAATATTTATTATTCAACTTGTATTGTGTAAATTCAGCAAAAAGCTTGACCTTGCCAAGTTGACTTATTAATTTCCTTATATTTTTAATCTAAATTCAAAAGTCAACTTTTTCTCTTCCAGTTTGCTGGTCTGGACTTGCAGAGCCGCGGTACAAGCGGTCGCTACGTTCCCCCACATCTCCGTAATAAGCAGAGCAGCGGTGGTGGATCTCAACCAGAGTCTGGTGGCGGTTACGACAGCAGAGACCGCGAACGCGGCGAACCTAGAAGCGGCGGCGGTGGAGGCGGCGGTAGAGGCTACAATAGTAGGGGCGGCGGGAACTCTCGTGATAGCAGAGGCGGCGATTTCTCCAATTTCAATACCAGGGGTAGACGCGATTATCCCAATGGGGAGACGTCCGAACGTGGAGAAGATTGGGGACGTGGTGGTGGTGGAGGCGGTGGCGGTGGTGGTTCCCGTAATCAAGACAGGTAAAAGTTTGAAAATCTCCTGCACTTGTTTTTAGAGATTTTTTTTCCAATCTTGCAAATGCAATGGGTTTGTTCCAACCTCACTAAGAACCTTGTAATCTCATAAATTCTGGGAACTGCCCACACTCTCCAGGCTTTAGCCGATATGAGTCACTTCACAGTATTACTGTAAAATGAAATTAGGCGATTTTAAGCGCAATTTTTCTGGATAAAAGCACCCCAAGCGTAGTTTCAGATTCTCACAGAATTTCAATAAATACTATAAATTTATTAATAGGGATCGCGAGTTGCCCCGCAATGATCGTTGGCAAGAACCAGAGCGCCCAAGTGGCGGAGGTCGCTGGAACGAAGGTGGCAACAGCGGAGGCGGTGGCGGTAGATGGAATGACAATAGAGACAACAGAAGAAACGACGGCGACTGGACCGTTCCCTTGCCACGTGACGAACGTGTCGAACTCGAACTGTTTGGCACAGGCAACACTGGCATTAATTTTAGCAAATATGAAGATATACCTGTTGAAGCAACCGGGGATAATGTCCCAGCTCACATTGCATCTGTAAGTAACTGCCAACTTTTAGCCCCACTAATCCTAATCTTAAAATCAAACATTTCCAGTTTGAAGAAGTACAGTTGACAGAGATCATAAGAAGCAACATTGCCGCTACTCGATATGACACCCCAACTCCAGTACAAAAGTACGCGATTCCGATCATCTTGGCCAGACGTGACGTTATGGCCTGCGCCCAAACTGGTTCTGGCAAAACGGCCGCGTTTCTTGTGCCGATCCTGAACCAAATGTACGAAGGCGGGCCTCCGAACATACAACAGGGTCGCAGCAGGCGCAAGCAGTACCCTCTGGGATTGGTTTTGGCACCCACCCGTGAACTCGCCACCCAGATTTACGATGAAAGCAAGAAATTTGCTTATAGATCCAGAGTAAAACCATGCGTTGTGTAAGTAGTAACTTTTGTTTGCTTAATTTGAAAGGATTTTTTTGGGGATTTTTAAATATACTGCTCCAATCCCAACTAAATATACTTTTTGGGCAATTATTATTATTGTTATTAAAAAACTTGCTCTGGCTTTGCAGTTCTAAGCAAAATGAGCTTCTAAAGGTAAACCCTGCTGAATGACGTTGTTGTAAAATATTGGTTGATTTATTATGATTGATACCTCGTCAATTTTTAAGATTTTTAATAAAAGTTCTTATTAAAATATCATCTATCTCAGTGGCGGCGATATACGTAAGCGGATATAAGCGATGCTTATGGGCCCGGGCACGAAGGGGGCTGATAAATTACTTCAGAAATTCGATAAGACAGCATAGACTGCATGATCTTTCCATTTTATTTATCAGACATAGCACAGCATCTAATATGGATATTCGGTATTTAATTGCTCCAGAAAAATTATCCAATGGATAAAGGAACCACAAATAATCAAAATTTGAACTATTACCGGCTCTTGATTCTCTGGAAAACTTTCCCAGAGCCAATCAAGAGCCGATAATAGTCAAAATTTGAACTTTTGTCAACTCTGGATTTGCTAAAGAATTTTTCTAAGGTATTCAAAACTCAAGAGCCGATAATAATTAAAATTTTGATTGATCATCAGCAGCTCTTAAGTTGATATTAATCAAAATTTCTTCTTCCGCAGCTTCTAATTGGCTCTAGAAAGATTATCCAATGGATCAAGAGCCATAGATAATCAAAATTTTAACTATTACCGGCTCTTGATTTTTTGAAAAACCTTACTAGAGCCGGTTAGAGTCAAAATTTGAACTTTTATCAACTCTGAATTCGCAAGAGAATTTTTCTAAGAGCATTCAAAACTCAAGAGCCGATAATAATCAAAATTTCGAATAATCATTAGTAGCTCTTTAGTTGATATTAATCAAAATTTCTTCTTCCACAGCTTTTAATTGGCTCTAGAAAAATTATCCAATGGATCAAGAGCCACAGATAATCAAAATTTTAACTATTACCAGCTCTTGATTCTTTGGAAAACCTTCCTAGAGCCAATCAAGAGCCGGTAATAGTCAAAATTGAAACTCTTATCAACTCTGGATTAGTCTGGATTCCTTAGAGAATTGTTCTGAAGGCAGTCAAGACTCAAGAGCCGATAATAATCAAATCGGTTGCTCATTACCAGCTCTTGAGTTGATGATAATCAAAATTTCTTCTTTCGCAGCTTCTAATTGGCTCTTCTAGTTGAACAATTTTCCATTAATAAAACCTAGAAGCAGAGACTTTTGACTAGTAGTTAAAGGTGATTTAACACGTTGACTGCCAACTACGAGATAACTCGAATTTAGCTACTTGAATCAGAAGCCCACTACGAATTATCTCGTACTGAGCAGTATCTAGTATATCGCCCACTACGGGTAAATACGTAGTAAATGCGGGCAGATACATAATGTTGGGCGTCTGGGGTACCGTGCGTAAAGTACTCACTTTACGCACTATTCAGAAGATGTAAAATTTCACTTCACGCACTAGTGCGTAAAGTAATGTCAATGACAGATGTCAACACTGTCAATTTGGCATTTTTCTGGTAAATTACTTCACACACTAGTGCGTAAAGTGAAAATTCTTCACGCACTAGTGCGTTAAGTATTTGTCCAAATTTATTTTTTTACATATATTTGATTGGTAGTAGAAAAAATTTTGTATGCAATACGTGCGTAAAGCACCTTTCAAGGTTCACTTTACACACTTGTTGCATATATAACTATCATTCATATTTTATTTGTGACTGAAATAAAGGAAAATCACTTGGATATAATGGGCGTCTGGGGCTAAATTCTCGTATCAGGCTTGGCAGTCAACGTGTTAAAAGGATTAAACAGGGAAATTTTGGGCATTTTTATACATACATATACTTAGATTTTTGTTTTATTTAATAGAGAAAATTAAGTTTTGATTTGACATGTTTCTACCAAATAAATAATATTCGTTGCTTTTGTTGCTTTGGATTCATCATTGTATTCTATTTGATTTCGGTTCAAAGCTTTATTAAACGACAAATTATCAAGTATAAAAAATCTTATGTTTTTTCATTACAGAGGTAGGGGAGCCTCATTGTAATATTTGCTTGGGGGCCCAGTGCATCCAAGCACCGTCACTCATTTATTACAAATTTAATGTAATAATCTTTTTGTTTTCAAATAATATACATATAAGTTACAAAATATCAAGCCTACCCTGCAACAACAAAGATTCAAGCCAAGTCCAATAGTTAAAGCCTTCAAATATCATACATTCTTTTCAGTTATGGTGGCGCAAATATAGTTGATCAATTGAGAGACCTCGACCGAGGTTGCCATTTATTGGTCGCCACTCCCGGTCGTCTATTAGACATGATCGATCGTGGTCGCATCGGTCTAGATTATTGCCGATACCTGGTTCTGGACGAGGCCGACAGAATGTTGGACATGGGTTTCGAAATCCAAATTCGTCGCATCGTCGAAAAAGAGTCGATGCCTCGCACCGGGGAAAGGCAAACGCTTATGTTTTCGGCCACTTTTCCGCACCCCATTCAAATGCTGGCCAGAGATTTCTTAGATAACTATATTTTCTTAGCTGTCGGACGTGTTGGATCTACGTCTGAGAATATCACTCAAAAGGTTTGTCCAGCAATTTTATTATACTGTTTCAACTGGCTAATTAAATTATTTCTTTAGGTTGTTTGGGTTGAAGAACACGACAAAAGATCATTTTTGCTTGATTTGTTGAATGTAGCTGACCTCAATAAACCATCCGCAGAAAGCTTAACATTAGTTTTTGTTGAAACTAAGAAAGGTGCTGATTCTTTAGAAGATTTCTTGCATCAAGAAGGTTACCCAGTAACCTCTATACACGGTGACAGAACTCAACGTGAAAGAGAAGACGCCCTGCGACAATTCCGTTCTGGAAATACACCCATTTTGGTTGCCACAGCAGTGGCTGCTCGTGGCCTTGATATACCTCACGTCACCCACGTAATCAACTTCGATTTGCCATCCGACATTGAAGAGTACGTGCACAGGATCGGCAGAACCGGTAGAATGGGTAACTTAGGTTTGGCAACGTCGTTTTTCAATGACAGGAACCGGAATTTGGCCAACGGTATGTTGGATTTGCTTGTAGAAGCCAAACAAGAGTGTCCATCTTGGATGGAGAGTGTTGCTTCTGACAGTAGAATGCCTAGTTCTGGCAGAAGAGGCGGTGGCAAGAGCCGTTACGGAGGAAACGGGGGCAGCAGTTTTGGTAGCAGAGATTACCGTCAACAATCTGGAAGTTCTCAAAGATCTAAACCCAGTGGAGGCGGTTATGGTAATAATGGATATGGTAATGGAGGTAAGGGACAATTAAGTTGTCAGTTGAAGACAATAATTCATGTTGATTTTATCTTTTTTTTTTTTATAGTTTTTACATACAGGGTCCCAACTATTTCATAGGGACAGCATTGATTCCTATTTCGGAAACGGTTAAAGTTACGAGGGCGTTTAAATTAGAAAAAAGTTGCCATTTTGAAGTATGTTGAAAATATAATACTTTTGAATTTGAATTAGTTTAGGACCAAACATTGCTTCTGTAATTTGTATCTTTGCTACTACCAATAAATAAATAAATAAATAAATAAATAAATATTTTTCTAATATTCTTCAAAAATGACAACTTTTTTCTAATTTAAACACCCTCGTAACTTTAACCGATCCCGAGATAACAATACTGTCCCTATGAAATAGTTGGGACCCTGTATACCGCTTTTTATTTATTATTCCCTATTGACTATTGGTCTCTCACCTACCAGTATACATTAAATTAGTATATTTTTATATGTTTTTTGTTTTGTTTAGGAGGTATGGATAGAGGAGCCAATTTTGGAGGCAACTACAACAATTCAAACAGCCACGATGATTGGTGGTAAATTGAAGTCAATCATTTTGATTGCCTCTTTATTTGTGTGTCCGAGGAAAAACAATTAACTGAAAAGGAGAAATATATTACGCTATTTACTTAGGTGGACAATGCATTTTATTTTAATGTTAGGATAAAATATTAACCATTTTCTTAAAAAATATTCAATCTCGAGTTTGAGAGGACATTTTTTAAATATACATATTTATTAATGACGTAAAAAATCGATTCTCTTTTATTGCAAGCATACATACGTACATAGGCATTGTATAACTACCAGAAAAAAAAATAGGTTATAATAATTATTATTCGTAATAAAAATTATTAGGTTTTGTCAAAACTTACAAAGGCTCTTTTGTGATTTTTTTTTTGTTTTCCTTCCTATAATAAAAAAATGACAAAAAAAATAAATAAGTTGTTTCATTATTTGTGGTTTTCTTGGAAGTAAATCAAGAAACTGTTGATTGGTAAAAGACTTCATACATAAGTTGGCACCAATCAGATTCTTGAAAACATTTTGCAAATAATTTTGAAAAACCGAATCAGCTGTTATCAATTATTTACAATGCTTGCAGAAGCAAACATTCAACATAAAATAATGGGAATCTGAGATCCATAGAAGTGAAACCAATAGAATTCCTAAAAAATAAAGTACTTCAAAAATCAATTCAGATCATAAGAAAACGGAGAAATGTAATCAGCTCTGACAGAAATTAGTAGAAGAGTTAACAGAGAATCCTTGACAAATTGACTTCATCTTGCACCTTGTTGCTTCTAAGATGTAATTTTTCTATCCATAGTGATACAATTTTCAATGAAGTCTGGGTTAACTCGGATGGGGTCAATAAAATAAACTACTCTCCAAAAATATTATCAACATATTTTTTTTTTTTTTTATTTTAAAATAACATAAAAAATAGTAGTACAGAGCTGTCACTTAAAAACATTTTGATAATAAATAATTTTATACACAACAGGGGTTTGTAGTGTGTGAGGGCTGGGGGGCAAGTTTTGCTTTTCACGAAAATAAAATATACAAAAATGTACAAAAACTACAATATGTGTGTATGCATCTTGAAGTCATCCAGTTTTTGTGTGAAAAAAAAAAAAATGATAAAAAAATATTTACAATAAAACTCATATCCATAATGTACAACGAATGTGATGGACTTAAAAATATTGTTCCAAATCACTAAAACAATTTTTAGTGACTTTGGAACAAACCTTTTTTTTGTTACCTAAATATACCTAATACTGTTTTCCCAAAAAACACTTTCTTTTTTCAAATAAGAGGAATCTATCTAAGAATTAATAATTTTAGATATTATAATTATGTTTACCTATATATTATAGTTTTACTGAATTTAAGACAAGACAGCTTTTTTTTCTTTAATCCGCTTTAAAATTTATTCAGAATATACTAAGTGTTTTGGACAACACTGTGTACCTATATTTAATTTGTATGTAAATTTAAAAAAAAAAGTAACAAAAAATGACTGTTGTATTTTTTATGTTGAATAATACACTTACATACAATAAAAATTGTCTTTCAATGATACCTACAATTAAGAGCGCGTATCACTACCTCAAACAATTAAAAACGACAACTCTAAAATTTATTTAAAAAGACATAATTTTTAATATTGCTTTCCATAATCAGTCTATAAAATTTAAACCATTGGCTATCAATTTAATTAATAAATTAAAAACAAAACCATCAATCAGCTTTCAGACAAATACCACACTCACCAAATCATATTTAAAAAAAAAATACATATGTATACCTACATGCCTGAGCAATATTTTTGCAAATGGAAATACGTATGGATTTTTCTACATATCAACTTCATAGCCAAAAATATCCAATTCATTTACTTAAAAAATAAATATTTTATTTATATAAATTATTACGAAGCCTTGAGTATCATTACAAAAAGGAAAACTTACAGAGTAAATATCACGATAAAAACGGTCTCAAAGAATGTTTTCATGTTTTTTTTTTTTAACAAAATATACTTATCTTTTGGTGGTACCCCATCAAATAATAATAAACTCTTTTAACAAAAAGACAAAATAATTAAGTAATTGAAAAAAATAGATTTGATAATGAATTCATGAAAAGGAGATACAATTTCTGAAACTATAAAGTTCAATTTTTTTCCAATATAATTTAGCATAATTTTTTGTTTTATCAATGCTAAAGGGGCAATAATAATGCCTGAAAAATTGAGAAAACATTCCAGTGTACCATCAAAAATAAAAGACATACTTTGTTACCGAACCTACTACGATCTATACACAGTATACACTATACAATCCACCAAGAAAAAAAAAATAAATTAAAGAAAAAAATAAAAACTATCATTCAAAAGTCAACAAACAAAAAAAAAACTACTACACCCGAGAAATAAAACCTGAATAAGCATTTAATTTTTTATCCAGGAGATTACTATGCTTAAGTACATTCTATTATGTGGGGTTGAGACGACTCGATTACGCTGGGTCGGGTCTCTTTGTTGGGTGCTAAGTTTTGAGTTTGCCTTTGACTCGTATTTTGTATTAATGTCATCGGCCTGGTTATGGTGATTGGTTGGGCGTGGATGTGTTCGATTGACGTGTGATGAAGGAACGGAGGCTCTTCTTGGGGTTCTACAAGACCTGAAAAAAAAAATGATGTCAAGTGAGTGATCCAAAATGATTCAGGTATACATTAATTGGAGCACAACATAATAACTACTTATTAGGCCTAACAGTGGATCAAATAGAAACGAGAACTTCACTCTGAAGTCGGGAAACTGATTCTTGAAAAAACGCTTCGAGATGAAACGAGAGAATTTGGCATTGAGAATTTCCCGAATTCTCTCGTAACAATAAGTTTATTCTATGTCTCACACTCACAAAATCATTTGGAATTATCGAAATTATTAGGCGTTGGAAAACTCCCTCTCTTATTGCTTGTCTGTCTGGGAACATTCAAATCGATGGGCAAAAAAAATATAGTCAAATTGTATTGGGTAAATTCATCCAAGAAGTTCCCTTACAAATTACGAATCCATAATTGACAAATTGTAGAATTGTACTTTACTCAACCCTCATAGAATTTAAATCTATGCAAATTTTTAAAGATGTTCAAGAGAGAAAGTATTTGGACGAGAAAGTATTATTCACCTGTCAAGAAATGGATGTGGAACCCTATCGAAAAAAAAATAAAAACTCAACCAGGTATTCTTCCGATCTGAACAAACTGATTGTACCTAATCACATAAGGTTTAGCAAAAAAGTTTTTTCCGGGCTATAATGCCGTGGTCAATTAGAATTTCTACCTAACGTTTCGTCTACTGCTGCGGTAGACATCTTCAGAGGCGGTGTGGTAGAGGACGAAGTGTTCTCTTCCGTGTTTCTCCGATGACTGAATTCGACGTTGAGGGAACTGCGTTATTTATATCCAGGGTTGTGGCCGTTGTGGGCGTGGCTTGGATTACGGTATTTTCCTTGTCTCGTTCTCGGAAAGGAAGGGTCTTTGTTTTTCGGAGAACTGGCAACCAGCTTTTATTGAGGTTCATGCCCTCTTCTTTTCTGTTGAAGTTGTTGTGGTGTTTCTGTATCTCTATGGCTTCTCTGTGGAGCCTGGTGTAGAAATGTTTGGTTCTATCCAATGTTTGAGTCTGGTCGAAACGAATGACATGGTTTGTTTGTGTAAGCACGTGTTCGGCGATTGCTGATCTATCTATTTGTCCTTGCTGACAGTTTCTTTTGTGCTCTTTGACCCTGGTGTTGATAGAGCGTTTGGTTGTTCCAACATCTTATATCCAAAAGCAGAGTAACTATGACAGATTTTGATATACCAAAAATCTATTTCTACTATAAGGGCGGGTATTATAAAACTGCGTTGACAGTTAACTTGAAGTTAACTTTTTGAATTACATGTAATTCCAGAAGTTAACTTTAAGTTAACTCTCAAAGTAGTTTTATAATACCCGCCCTAAGTCGACCAAGTTAAGTCGAAAAATGTCAACCATTTTGACACCTGTCAAAATCCTGCCAAATGGCAGCACTCACCTTTTCCAGTTTTCAATATTTTATGATGTCATTTGACATTTTTTACTTATAGGTAAATTCTGAATTCAAAAATTGAAAAAAAAAAGACACAACTGTCAAAACCTGTCATTTTTTTTAGTAGAAAAAAATACTGTAATCTGTTTTTTCTTTGTTTCAAGGTAGTTTATTGGTGATAAAACATTAAACAAAGTCATGCATGTCACATTTTGACAACTGTCAGAATCTGTTAATAGTTTTTTGTTTCATATTGAGTTTGTTTGCTTATGGCCATTTCCACCAAACTATAACTAAGCTTTGATTAACTATGAAGCCCTTAAAAGTTAAGGGACGCTCAAATATAATTTCGTTCCACCATAGTTTTTGAGTGCAAGCTTAGCTAAGTGTCGTGAAGCTTTGGCAACATTGAATTTTAATTGAAAGATTTGCGTACTTTTTCGTTTTTACATACAAGTCGGGTCAATGTTATCTGTCATTCGACGTTTCCCGCTAATTTGTATTAGATGAAAATAATAATATTAATAATAGTTGTTGCTGTTGTCCGAGTTCGGTTTATTTCATATTTCATAGAGGAGAGGTTTAGATATTCGTAGTTTATCCTGCATTCTGCATTGCGTGTGCACGAACACGAAGGTGTCTATTGCAGCGTGGAGTCGGGGAAGAGAAACAAACAGGGACAGTTTATTCAAAAAAGCCGGACAACCAACTATACAATAAAGGAAAAAGTGCTGCTATTATCACTAACATCAAAAAATGAGAACATAATCGAAAATAAAAATGAAAACAGACGGAGTATCTACACCAGACATTAGAAAATTGAGATCATTATTTATCTCAATTCAATTTTAACGTTTGGTTATGTCAACAAAACATATAGGTATGATGCAAATTGCTTGCGCTTATCATCCCCACTTTGTTAAGGGAGGAATAAGCCTAGAAATTTCTATGCTTAGTTAAGCTTATCTTGATGAGACTAGGTGAGACTGGTGGAAACAAAATTATAATATAAGCGGCACTTAACGTTAAGTAAACTTAAATTTGCGTTGGTGGAAACGGCCATTAGTGAAGTTCTATAACGGGCATAAAATTGATTTAGTTCTACAACGAAAGTTCGTTGTTTATATATTAAGTTCGTTGTTTATGTGTTGTTGATATGTTGTTGATATTTGAGAATTGCTAGTAGTGCTATAGTTAATGCATTTCATCCACCTGTTGTGATGCACGGTAAGTAACACACATAATTTTAAGTATGTTCATGAAAAATTAGGTAAACAATATGCACAAATTATGTTATCTTAGCTATTTTACAATAATTCAAAACTGCTTCCAGGTTTCAATGCTGAAACTGCACAAGAAATGCTCCATTTAGCTGCCCAGCCAAATCTTTTACAACAGAGAGTGGAAAATGGAAATCTCTTGAGACATGGTGGACGAAGAATAAATATAGAAGATGTCTTTCAGTTTCCCATATTACCTGTGGAATACCTGATATCAAAAACATTTGGTACATACCAAGTGAAATTGGCACCTGCTTACGTACAAGACAAAAAAAGAAGAGGTATTGACGGATTTGAGGCCCATCAGATTGATCAGAATCCGATTAGAGTTCGAATCTTCTCTAGACACGTACAGGCAGCTCAACATACATATTTCGTTGCCTACCACCACGAAAACAACGAGAATATTGTTGATCCAATATCAGGCACTTACTGCACATGTAAAGTAGGTGCCAAAACGTTGGGTGTCTGTGCACATGTTGCATCAATTTTATGGTATCTGGGGCACGGAAGATATCCCGAAAACAATTCGAGATATCCCTCAAATCAACTTTTGACTGTCATTTAGGATGCAGCCAATAGAAACCAAGAAAATGTTGAATACTAATAGATATTTATGTCATAAGGATCATAATGACAATCATTATGGTACTAGCCGTGAATATTATCAGGCGAGGCGTTAACCGAGTCTGATAACACGGCGTGTGCCATAATGATTGTTTATGATCCGAATTTCATACAATATTTTATATTCCGACCTGTCAAAATGACATCATTGTGGATTTCATTTGTAAGTGTCAAATTGTTTGAGTACTTTAATGATTTCATTACAGTACTGAGTACTTATAATGATTTCATTAAAGTACTCAAAAAAATCGCCGGTACATAAAATCCTTTATACTAAAACTACGTACTTTAAAATGAAAATTTACATCTCTGTCAAAATCTGAAACCTGCGTATAATGTTTTTTCATGCGTTATCACAAATAGGCCTAACTTAAATTGGAAAAGAACTAGATTTGATTCTTTTCTGAATTAAAGCTATTGAAAAATTCTGTGACAGCTGTCAAAATGTGACGAGCATGAACTTTGTTCAATGTTTTATCACCAATAAACTACCTTGAAACAACAAAAAAACCAAATTAGAATATTTTTTTCTTCTAAAACAAATGACAGTTTTTGACAGTTCTGTTATTTTTTTTTTTAAATTTTTGAATTAAGAATTTACATACAAGTTGAAAATGTCAAATGACATCATAAAATATTGAAAACTGGAAAAGATGAGTGCTGCCATTTGGCAGGGCTTTGACAAGTGTCAAAATGGTTGACATTTTTCAACTTAACTTGGTCGACTTAGTAGAAATAGATATTTTGTTCATCAAAATCTGCCATAGTTACTCTGTTTTTGGAAATTAGATTTCAATATTTGACAGCTAACCACGCCTCACCTGTCATATATACAGGGCCGAGTTCAGAAATAACGCACAGGGTGCGAGTGCGATTCCATGGGTGTGCCTGAATTGACAATTGGCCATTGGGCCCATAGCAGCGTCTAGCATTTTTGAACAGCTAGGGCGTCGTACCGTTGTCACACTCACACTGGGTGTGTCATTCCTGAACTCGTCCCAGGGTTGTGTCCATGGTAAAAAATGTTGCTTACGGCATCCCCAATAACATATTTAAATTTCATCCAAAAATCACGGGTAACCAATTTCCATTTAAATATTGCGGGGTCCTTTCCTATCAAAATATAACACGTGCATAAAATATTTCCTAAGGGAAATTTGTAAAAATTTGCAGCTGTATGCAACATCCTCTTTTAACTTAAAAGCGCTTTCTAAAACTGGTGCCTTCAAAACTTTGTATGGCTTAGAATACACATTTTTAAAAGTGACCAGTTTTAAAAAGCGCTTTCAAGTTAAAAGAGGATGTTGCATACAGCTATTGGTCTTTAGTCAATTTTTTCAAACAAAACCATTCGTGCATAGCGCCAAAGAAAAAATCCCTTCCGACAAAATTTTCAAAAATTTCCGGAAATATTTTATGCACTAGTTATATTACTACTGGAAATATTCAATCACCAGTCGTTATTTATCTTCACCTTGTTTCAACTGACTTTATAAAGACTAGCCTTGCGTTCGGTATTTTGCTCGAAGAGCAGAGCGTGCTGAGCGGAGCCGTAATCACGTGACCAGCGAGGGGACAGAGCAGTTGAACGCTATATAAAAGTGCCAGAAATTTTAATAAACGAACGCGAATGAGGCTGCACCGAGTACACTTTTTGAATAAACGAACGGTAAAGTCATGCTCGGAGAACTCAGACCA